TTTATTGGAAAAAATTCGTGTATAAGTAGACCTGCGCAGTTCAAACCCTTGTCGTTCAAGGGTCAACTGTAGTTGTGATGCTGTGAAGAAATGCAAGGGTACCCAGCCAAAGGCTTCCAAGAGGAAGTGACACTTAATCTGAATTAAGTTGGAACTGAGGGGAAGAAGGAGGAGAAAAGCATTCCACGCAGAAGAAATACATATATGAAGTTCCAGGAAGGGTAAAGAAAGAGCTGGGAAGATTTGAGGAGCTAAAAGATCAGGAAGTTGAAGGAGGGATGGGCCACATGAGCCTGGACTGGCCTTGGGGCAGGGCCTAGTGGATGTGTGAAGAGATCCCTATGGGATCCTTAAGGTGGTAGCAGCAGGAGGACAGGACCAGGCTTATCTTCATTTTGCATATTGGGAAACTGAGAGCCAGCAAACGGAAGTGACTCTGAGAAGATCAATAGCCAGTAGGACTACAGGTCTGGAACTAGAACCAGGAACTCCTAACTCCCAGATGAGTGTTCTTGCCACTATCCCCCAGGAAATGCAACCTTTCAGGCTGCCTGTCTGCAGGGAGGGGTTGAATGGAGCTGTGCGGTGGCCAGGAGTGGTGGGCTCTTTAAAGACTGAAATTTCTAAAAGGATTCTGAGTCCTTTTGGAGGCAGGTGTAGATTTTTTTCAGACTGTCAGGTCTGAGAGAAGCTGCTTAGAGACTGGGAAGGGGACAGAGGAGGGTTGCCAGGCCAGAAAGTCCAGAGCCTGGACTGAAAGAGACCGTGGGAGTCCACTGAGCTTGCCCTTCTCCGCCCCCTGCCACCAGCTGCAGACTCAAGCTGCGGTGCCCCCTTGCCTTATTCCCAGCTCAGTGAGCAGCTAGTGCAGGAGGTGCAGCCTCTGTTCCACTCAGTTCTTAATATCAGAAGGTTCTCAACCTTTCCCAGGAAGCAGCTCCAAGACCTGCCCAGAGAGATGGGCCCTCATGGAGCTGAAGCTTGCAGCCCCTCAGGCCCCTCTTCACTCCCTCTAACACCCCCTCCAAACACCGGCTGCTGTAGGTAAGATTTGTCACTCTCCTCCTCCCAGGACCCGTTTTACCATCAATTTGGATCTTACGGAACACGTATGTCAGGGCAGCAGGTCCAGTGTCAGGCTCAGAATTCCTCTCTGGGATCTGGATTTACCCAAAATGGTGTGGGGGTTTGCTGGCAGGAGCAGCAGGTTGGGGGCGCCATCCAGAGGGTTGGTAGCACATTCACAGCTTGAGCTCATAAATGCTCAGCAGGCGCTTCACTGGGTGTGTCACACTGTCTTTATCCTCCACCAGGCTGGGAGCTCTTTGAAGACAATAGGGGGCTGGTTGAAGAAATTAAGTTGCATTGATAGGATGAAATATTAAGCATTTGCCAAAAAAGAAAATGAGGGAGATGTGTTGGTGCTGATTCAGAGTGTTCTGCAAAATATATACGTATTTTTTTGTATTTTTTTGTATTGAAATTTTTTAAAGGTCACATCAGTGAGTATAGTGTATGTCATTTGTGTGTGTGTGTGTGTGTTTTTTAAAGGCTATGTAAACAGTGCTTGCCTCCAGTGGGGGTACTGGGACACTGGGGCAGAAGACTTAAAATAGGGCGTTTTATACTGTTTAATCCTTTTGCCACATGACACATTTTATTACTTTTTCAATGTATATGTGTGTAAAAGGTTGGTCGGTCTCTCCACTCCTATCTCATCTACTCTTTCATTCCTGCCAGCCTGACCCTCTGCTTGCACAGCCCAGAACACCTCCAGATCGCTTGTCCCTCTGCCCAGCCAATCCAGTCCCTCACATGTCAGAGCCCTGCTAGGCTCCCACCCGCCTTACCTGTGAGGAGGAATGAGTCCTTCCCTGTCTGGCCACCAGGGAGCAGCCCATGCCTCGGCCTCGCCTTGGATGGGCTGGAGGGCTGGGAGGGCAGGCAGTCACCCTCAGATCTGAGGGGAGCTCCAATGCCCTTTCCACCCAGGGCTCCTGGGGCAGAAAGAGGCACAGTCCTCAGGGAGGGACAGAGTCGGGGGTCCTGAAGGTGGTGCTAGAATTGTCCCCTATCTTTGTAACACTGAGCAGGCCTAAGGCCACCCTCTCCACACTGGTTCAAGACGAGGAGCACTCGTTGAACGAGGCACAAACTCATTTAGCAGATGTCTGGGGTCCGATTCCACAAGAAGGGAAACAGGGTGAAAGCGAAGTCTCTTAAAAACGGGAGCAATGGATCCATCCTGTTCCCCACCCCCACTCCAGGGCTCCTGGGACTTCCACACCCTCCACGGCTCAGTTCCCAGCCAGACACATCTTTAGCTGGTTAGCCTGGAAGCAACCCAAGGCCACTAGATCCTGGGAGCTCAGCTGAGCTAATGACCCACTGGCCCAGGTCTTTTCAGCCAGGCAAGGGACAACTTTCTTCCCATGGAAGTCCTAGGCCTCTGTCCTCAGCCTCATCTAACTGATCTATACCAGATGAGTACAGATCTGGTTTTAGTATAGATCAGTTTTTGGTATACCCAGAGTTATGCAACCATCACCAAAATCTAATTTTACATTTTATCATCCCCTCAAAGAAACTGTACTCAACCCCATCCAGCAGCCAGTCCTAGGCAACCACTCAGCTACTGTTTGTCTCTATAGGTTTGCTCATTCAAGACATTGCACATAAATGGAATCATGTGGCCTTGTGTCTGACTTCTTAGCATGTTTCTGAGGTCCATTCATGTAGCATGTATCAGTACTTCATTCCTTTTTATTGGAGAATAAACTCCACTGTATGAATATACTGTTTTGTTTACCCATTCATCAGCTGACAAACATCGGGGCTGCTTCCATATGGGGCTGTTATGAATAATGCCACGATGAATACTTGTGCACATATTTGTGTGCACATTTTTTCATTTTTCTTGATATCTAGAAGTCGAATTGCTGGGTCTTATGTTGGTCCTATGTTTAACATTTTGAGGCACTGCCAGGCTGCTTTCCAAAGCAGCTGCATTATTTTACATTCCCACCAGCAGTGGATGGGAGTTTCACATCATTGGCAACAATTGTAACTGTCTCTTTTATAATAGCCTTTTCAGTTGGTATGATGTGGTGTTTCCTTGTGGTTTGATTTACAAGGACTGATAATGTTGAGTATCTTTTCATGGGCTTATTGGCCATTCATGTTTTTCTTTGGAGAAATGCCTATTCAAATCCTTTGCCCTTTTAAAAACTCAGGTATTTGTCTTGTTGTGTACAAGTTCTCTACGTACCCTAAACGCAAGTCCCTTATTAGATTTATGATTTGCAAATATTTCCTCCCAGTGTGAGTGTTGCCTTGACCCTGTCCTTCGAAGCACAAAAGTTTTTAATTTTGCTAAAACCCAACTTATTTTTTATCTCTTTTTTTCAATCACTTGTGCTTCTGATGTCATATCTAAAACCCACTGCCTAACCCAGGGTCAGGAAGATGTAGTCCTATGACTTCCTCTAAGACTTCTCTTACATTAGTTCTATGATCCATTTTGAGTTATTTTTGTGGATAGTGGGCCACAGTCCAAATCTGTTCTTTTGAATGTGGATACCCAGTTGTGTTAACAAATATCATTTGTTGAAAAGACTGTTCTTTATCCATTCAATTATCTTGGCCCCTTTGTGGAAAATCAATTAACTGTAAGTGTTAGAGTTTATTTCTGAACTCTTGTTTTATTGATTTCAAGTATCTATTCTTGAGGTGGAAAGCCCCATGAAAAAGACAGCAAGACCCCCAGGCAGGGCCACTACCCTCCTGCCAGCACCATTCGTTGCCCTGGCCCAGCAGCATTATCCCGCTTCTTAACTCTGAAACGGCTTACTTCTAGAAAAGTGAAACTTACCCTTAAGATTCTGCTGGATCCCTAAGTTCACTCCTGATTGGCCCATTTGTTATACCTTATTTGCATATGATGTTGCAAAATGTTACAAAGTCTAGACTGGTAGCCTATAAAAGTCTGTGTAAACCTATAGACAGGGTCCAGAGCTTGGAATGTTAACTCCTCTGGGCCTGCTGGTGTAATAAACCTGAGTTCTCCAACCCTCCCAGTGCTGCTTGGTCTCTCGCCTGGATCGTGGTTGCTGTCACAACTGAGCTGTAACACTGAGCTGTAACACACTTTGCTGTAACGTTCTTTTTAGGCCTCCCTTTCTGAGTCAGTAACAGAGCAGAGGCTAAAAGAGCTCATTTTCTGAATTTCCACCCTGAACTGTTATTCGAGGAGCCAGTGCTGGCTGTTGCATCCAGCCTATTCCAGGGCAGGTGGCAGGGAAGGGGGGATTGTGAGTGGGAATAAGGAACATCGAGTAAACAGGGTGTTCCTGCCCCTCCTGGCGCAGCAGGCTCGAATTCCTGTGCAGCCTCTGCCCTGGAGGCCCTGGGAGGGAGGCAGGGGGAGGGAGGGCTGAGAAAGAATGTGGGTGCATGCCTCGCACGGCAGTGAGGAGGGCGGAGGCGCCTGCTGGGCCCACCCCGCCTGCCTGGAGAGTCTGTTGGCTGTTGGGCTGCCTGCCTCAGCACCTCAAGTTCTCCAGCTGCCCTGAGGAACCATGCCCACACTGAGTGAGCCTCCACTTGCACCAAGGCCAAAGGCATTGGGGCTCAAAATAGCCAGGCTGCTGAGCCCTAGACAGCATGCTTGCAGAAGAGAGGGAGGTGAGTGGGCAGGTGCCCAAGCCCCCTCCTCCCCTGGCTGTTTGGGTGCGTGGTGCTAGAGGGGGAGATGCAGCCCATCTCCAAGTCCCCTCCCCCTGACGGGTAGTGTCTGCAAAGCTGCCCTGGCTCAGGGAGTGCGCCTGGGAAACTTGAGATAAGGTGAGAATTTCACAAACTCACTGCTTGGCCAGGGCCACAGCAGCTGTGGCCTTTGACCAGAGAAAAGAAAAAGAGCAGAAGTGCTGCCAGAGGGAAGTGGAGGGTGTGGGATACTAGACAGGCTCAAGAGGGCTGAGCCCTGAGCAACAGGCAGCCTCCCTGGTAGTCTGAACACACTTTATTCAGCAAAGGAATGTCTGAACAGAAGGGCCCTGGGTAGGATTTCTGACAAAGAACTCTGCTTCAGACCCCGCTGTAAACAGAGCAAAGATCATCATGTAAACCACAGGGACCGGATGGGAGGGGGCTCTTCATAAGGTCTGGGTCAGGTCACACTGGCCAGTGAAGCTGGGCGCAGGCCGCGCCCAGGGCAGCCCAGCCTAGGGGAGTCCAGTGAGCTCTAAGCAGCTTTGTAAGACAAGCCTGGGGCAGGGGGCAGGGGGTGGGGGGGGGCGGGAGGAGGTTCTGAAGGGGAAGCAGGCAGGGCCGGCCAATTTAGGGGGTTCTCTTGACCACTGAAGGTGCAAGGATTAATTTAGCTCAAGCAGCCAGGGCTGCTGGCAGAACCATCCTCGTTGACTACAGCTCTGCACTCAAGACTCATGATTGGGGATGGGGAAAGGTCTCAGGGTCTACACCAGGAAAGAGCATCCATTTGGACCCTCTGCCCAGAGAATGTGCTTGTGGCAAGGCCCATGCATGGCCTGAGAAGCAGCCAACCAAAACCTGTTTTGGGTCACTCCCAGCTGTGTGTTTAGCTGGGTGTGAAAAGGGGAGGGGAAAAGGAAGGGGATTCTGGGAGGGAGGAGGAGTATGGGGTAGGTGGGGGTTAGGAATGTGGTGTTGCATATCCTGGGACCCTTGGGGCTGCTGGGGAGAAGCCCTGCCCCCTGGCACAGTTGGGTCCAGCTGAACTTCTGATTAACAAGCAAGATGAAGACCAGAGGGCAGGGGTAGTGGGGTGGTGGGGAATGACCAAGGACAGAAATACCATCTTCCTGGACCCACTCCTGCTAACCCAAGAGTGAGGAGTGTTATAGGGCACCCCCGGCCCCAACCAGTAACAAGAGCAGCAGGAGCAGGGGGCTCAAAGTCTGGGTGTGGACGGTGAGGGCACTCCTTCCAAGGGCCTTGGGCTCCTGTGTGAATGCACAAATTGGTTTACCACCAGGGGGCAGGGAAAGGGTTGGATGGAGGCCAGGAAGGCAAGGCTGGTGCCCAGTGGGTGTGAGTGACGGCCAGAGCCCAGCTTCTCTCTAGAGAAAATCACTACACTACAACACACAAAGCTGGGGTGACGGGGACCCAGGGAGCGCTAGGTCTAAACAACTCACAGGCGGCTGGGGGAAGGGTGGCAGGGATGACACAAATGCCCTGATACCCAGGAATCACAACCAACAGGCAAGCGGAGCACAGCTAATCACTGTGGAGGGAGTGCCGGGGGCAGCCAGACGCATAGGCCCCAAGTGGCTCACTCGTCAAATTTCCCTTCCCGAATGTGCTCGAAGGAGAAGGGCAAGAACTTGAAACCGGTCCCGCTGTAGAATTTATTCTGGAACTCGACCCTGGAGAAAGGGAAGAGGAGAGTCATCATTCCACAGACACCTTTTGGGACTTCACAGGTTGCACCAGAAAGATGCCTGGACCCCAAGCTCAACCACACCTCAGGTTCCTACACCAGCTTGAGAGCAGCTCTGCCTCCCATGAAGCCCAGGCCCCAGCCTACTTCCCACAGCACACGGACAGACACCTGCCCGCCAGGCAGGAGCGCACGACACCAATCACGACACCAGTCACGGGTTGGCCTCAGCTCCTGCTCTGTCCTGCTGAGCGGGGTGTCTTCATGCAAGACTTTCTGTAGAGGATCATGTGCAAAAAAGCGGTCTGTCAGTCTGGGTCTCTAACAAGAATGAAGAGGACCCTCAGCAGCCGCTCCTGGCAGCCCCTGGCAGCCCTCCAAGGAAGCCCCTGAGTGGCTGTGAGCTCAGCCAGGGACCCTGGCAGGGGCCACTGTTTTCTTATTTGTTAATCTCTTCTTAGCGGAGGGAGAAGGGAGGGTCGCCAGTGACTGGTGGAGATTTTCAGTTTAGGGGAGGAAATTCCCAGGAAAGGGAGAAGTTAGAAGGGGAAGTCTTCTCAAAGCAATGGCGAAAATATTCTCCAACTACAAAAACATCTGAGAAAGAATTCTTCTCTTGGGGACTGAAAGGAAAAACAGCTTTAACTCCCTTCCCTGGCAGCTCAGCATCCCTCCCTGATGGTGTCCCTGGGCCCTTCAAACTCTGAGGGGGCAGGAAGAGGAGGACACGCCTGTAAGCGGAGCCAGGCTGCAAGCTCGCCCTGGATGGCTGCCCAGCAACCAAATCACCACCAAATATGGGCAGAAAAATGCATGATTCAGAGGATAAAATAGCCAAGGAGCGCTGCCCTGAGGAATAGTTTCCATTCAGTGCTGTGTGACCTGGGGGGCCCCTGAGCCCTGCAGAAGCAGGCCGAGCAGGCCAGTGCAGGCTGCAGGTGACAGCTGGCATGCCCGGCAGGGCTCCAGGACGTGGTCCACCTTCACGCCCCTCACTCAGCCCTTAGCCTTCAGCCAGGGCATCCTCCCTCCAAGCCAAGGGACGGATTAGAGAAAAGGGGGTGGAAAGCGGAGTCTGCCAGTGGCCCCGAGAGGTCCTCAGAGGCCCCTTCAAAACTGGGGGGCTGTCTGTGCACACTGACCGCAGCGCTGCCAGCTCTACCCCCGGGGGAGAAGAGGTGACCAGAATCTTCTGCGTGGGCACAGGAACAGGCAGCCTTCTCCCCAACCCCACATCCCAGGGGCTGGGCCAAGCTCCCAAAGCCTCCCAGCCCGCAGAGGATTCCCAATTAGTGCCTTGGCCAAGCCCCCTAGAGGAAATGGGATCCAGGAGAGGGTGCTTCACACTGAAGTCAGTCACAGGATTCCTAGCAAGAACAATTCCAAACGGGGACCTGGATTCAACCCCATGTCCCAGTACCCCCAAGAAGACCTTCCAGCTACTGAGGCCTCCTCTGGGGGATGCAATGGGGACAGGGGAAGGTTCCTGCTTCTCATCCACTGCTGTTAGGTCTGAATTCTTCATGCTGGGTAGGCTGTGTTTACACACAGCAAGGGTATTTCATTTCATTCAAAAATATACAGCCAGATGGTCAGCAAGCCACCTTCGGGTCTTAAGTATCCAGAACTCCGCCTTCTGGATAGCTAATCACACAAACAACTCTCTCTCCAAACTGGGCAAATGGGGAAGCTTCAGACATTTTCAGATGCCTGAGGGGTCACCGCCCTTCTCTGGGCATCCCCCTACCTGCCTCCCCTCCATCAGGGGGCACGTGCAGGGGGTTGGGGGCACATTAGTTCTGCTGTGTGAGGAGATGGGAGGACCCTCTGACACACCACCTGATACCACCTCTCCCACCAGCTGCTCCTCGAGGTTAGGGACCGAGGGTGGCCACCACTAGGGACATCTTGGGTATCTCAGGGTCAGACGGACTTTGCCTCCCTTCTCAACCATGCTCACTCCAGCCTCCTAGAACAAAGCTGGAGAGCAATTTCCCTGTTGGGCTCCCCGCCTGCTCCTCCCTCCCAGCGAGGGAAATGTGTGCTTCCTGAGAAAGTACAAACATGAAGTTCTCTGTGCCGGGGCGGGCAGGGCCCCGCTGGCTGCCCTGTGACTTCTTCCTTCTTGAGGGGCTCTGCCCAGTCGCCTCCAGGGCCCTGCCCCAAGCCACTAGAATGCACCTCAGCGTTCAACAGATGGGAGGAGAGCTGCAGGCAGGCAGATGGGTTCTGTGTCACCCCTTCCAGTGACCCAGAAGGACTGACTGGGAGTCCACGGAGAGAGTACTCCTGCTACGTGACAGAAACCTAGTTTTCTTGAGTGAATGAACGGAGAAGGAGTTTGGGCCTCTTACCTTTCCTGTGGGATGGCAAGGGGAGGCAGTTTTAGTAAGACGGTTCTAGGCCCAGCTGCTCCTCTGGCCCTGCCTGTCACTCTCTGAACAGGGCAGGGCCTGGGACACACAGTGGCTGAGGGCCCATGCATGGGCTGGGGCGCTGAGGTCAGCCCAGGGCTACCTTTCAGGTGTCCCCCTTCTCCTTAGGCAGCCATTCCCCCACTACCCCGCCATGTCCTGCTGTGGCTCTATGGCATTCCTTACAGCACACCGGTCCCCTTTAGCCACCAGCCTGTGTGTGTCCAACTGGAGTCTGCTGGGTAACAAGGGAGTAGGTTCCACGGGGCCTCAGTCTTTCTGTTAAAATCAGTTTGGTACCCACAGTTAAAACCACAAATCATACTCCTGCCTTTTCCTTTTCTGAGGAAGAAAAGACATCTCATTGTGGTTGGCAAGAAGGCCAAGCACACTTCACACTGTCGGAGGGAGGAAGAGAGAGAGACAGATGTAACTCAGGAGGAGACAGAAGTAGCAGGCTGGTGCGTGAATGTGCTCACCGCTGTTTCCAAATATGTCACCTGCCTCCTTGTGACCCTACATGAACCTCAGAGTCAGGGTTTATCTTTGTTATCGAATCAAATGTTTTTCTTCTTGTCCTCACCAATGGGACAGCCCCTGCATCAGAATCAAGAAACCCCAGCTGAACACCAGGGGTAAAGTGGCAGGTACAAAGATGCTCAGGGTGAATGCCGGGAAAAACAGCAGCAATGTCCCTGCAGCCATTTTCAGTGGGACCAGCTGTTCCCACCCCTCACAGGGTGGCCACAACTCAGCATTCCTGCAGTCCTGCTGGACTGGGAAGAGCCAGGAATCCTCAAAGCACATCCACATTCGGCCAGGAGGGGGTGCATGAACACCAATTTCATTCACTGTTTTTTTTTTAGTGGTAGGGGAGATGCTCCAAATAAGCCTCCAATGATGGGATTCTGAGAGCAGTACAAAGTTTTCACTACTTTTTCTATTCTACCCAGTATTTCCACTACCAAACAACAACAGCCCTGCGGGTACAGTATGTTTGATTAGCCTGTTCCTTGCAAACTTCATCTGAGAGGTATTCAGATGGGTATCAGGCACCTCCCCCTGGGGTCTCCCTTCTCTCTAAAAAGCCTGGAAGCAGTTTCCTTATGGGAGACCTCAACGAGATGCCCTCTCCGCAGGGCAGCCGCCACCTGCACTTGAACCTAGTTTATAGGGCAATGTGACAGTCACTCGATATTGCATTATTTCATATTTAATCACAACAACCCTGTCATGTGGACGTTATCCTCTTTTCACACACGAGAAAGTGAGGTTCTGAGAAGTTAAGTGCTTTCCTCAGGGTCCCCTAGCCAGTGCCCAGCAGAACTGGAATTCAAACTCGGGTTGCCTAGTTCTGAAGCCTGCTCTCTCACCACTTGTCACTTCCTCGAGCTCATTCATGAGGACGTGGGAAGACACCTTCACTCGAAGGCCACGGGTCAGCCTGAGGAAGAAGTAATCCTTCTGGCAACAGTACACGACTTCCCAACTGCCTCAGCTTACTCTGGAGACCGGGCCCAAGCCCAGGCAGCCTTCCTTGCGCCATGGTGGGCCTGGCTCATGGCCCTGACAGTTCTGGTCCGGCTCCTTGACTGCTACCCACCCACCCAGGAAGGAGGCAGCAGTCCCTCCCCGGGGCTGGAATCAAGGTGGGGTGTCACTGTTCCCTCAAGCTAGGGGCTTGGGTGACGGAGAAGAGAACAGGAAAGGAAGGAAGCCAAGAGGGCAGGAAAAAGTGAGTCACCAGAGGCTGGCAGCACAGATGGTCCAGCACACCAAGTGGCTGAGGAAGTGTGCTGGGGAGAGTGGGCTGATAAGCTGAGAGCAGGTAGCACGCCAGCAGCAGAGCCTCGCATCGCTGCTAAGTCCTGGCTCGCCAGTAAACAACAGCTGGGGGGAGGAGGGGCAGGAGGCGGAGCCGGCCAGAGAGGGCGATGTGTACTGACGGGGCAGGTCGGATTTCTTAAAGGAGCTTTTGAGGGAAGAGTAAGTCTGGGCTGCATCTTGCCCTTACATGCCTCACTTTTCCCCTCTATAATTTAGAGCAACAAACAGCAGAATCTTTTGAGCAGGCTAGCTGTCACCAACCTAGGAGAAAAATCAAAGATAAGGGGAGTGGGGAAGAGATTTCTCAGGTTCAGATTTTTATTTTCTACTGGTTTGGAGAAGTGATGGAAAGAGACAGCCCTCTTCTGACCTTGAGATCATTAACACCACAGCTCATCCTGTCTGGGGATTCCTGAGGCAGGGTCAGTGGGTTTGTGAGCCCCTAAACTGGTAAAACTATGTGTGCACATACGGTCGGGTGTTTCTTTGGGGAGAGGATCTAGAGCTTCCAGAGCCACTGGACCCAAAAAGAGAGAGGGGATCACAGTGTAAAGGAGGAAACAGAGACTTAGAAATAGGGTTTGAGGCAGGGTAGTGAGATAAAGTACAGGATGCCCAATTTTTAGTATAAATATGTTCCATGTACATTGGGAAATACTCAACACTAAAAAAAAATTATTCATTGTTTATCTGAAATCCAAATTTAACTGAGTGCTCTGTAATTTTCCTTGCCAAATCTGGCAACTTTACTTTGAGGTCATGGTCGCAGTCCAGACCAGACCCCAGTTCTCTCTATCCCTGGGACAGAGCTATCTCCATGCAGTACCATTAAAAGCCACAAACTACATTCAAGAAAACAAGTAAATCCAAAACCTTCCCTGTGAAGATGCTGCTTCAATGTACCAAGCTACATACTAAGGAGCCAGGAATCCCCTTACCCACACAGAGCTGCCGCGGGGCTGCCCAGAGACACTGGCGCGAGGACAGAACGAGGAGGACAGACTAGGGCACAGTGTGCGCTAGCGCTTTCCTGGGCTTAGACTCTATTCCAGGGCTGCTTCCATTGCTCTGAACACAAGAGAGAGTTATATGCCAGTGCAAAAAGCCCCCAAACAAACAAAAACCCCCAGCAAACAAAAAAATAAAACCCCAGCAGATCTTCTAAGTCATAATCAAGAGCACCGACAAAAGCAGCAGACAGGGAGAGGGACCCTGACAACACTCACCAGACAATCCTCTCTGGAGGCTATGAAAGTGAGCTGTGCGTGTCTGTGACATTTCCCAAGGCTCGCTACCAAGTAGGTCCTTGGGTGTAAGGATGTGAAAGCAGACACTTCCCAGTGTCTCTGGACTCCAGGCAGGAGTAAAACTGCCTTCAGTGCAGCTAAGGACATGTCCCCACCCCCTGGCCCCATGCTGCCCCTCACCAGTGTAAGCGCAGTGCATGGAGAAAGGCTGAGAGGCCCTCCATGATCAGGAGGATGGCCACGGTCAGGGTGGCGAAGGCGGCGAAGATGAAGAACAGCGCCAACCCCCCTGCTAAGCTCTTCACGCTCAGGCCGATGTGGATCACCATGGTCCAAAGCACCTCAGACAGCTCTGGGGGATGGGGAGAGACACAGTGCGTTCAGCTGGGCAAGAGGTGCTGCGGGCCTTGCCATCCCTCCCCTGCGTGTTCCTGCCCACCCCCCTCTCCCCGGCTTCCTGCGACCTCACCAGCTAACCCGGCCAAAGTGTGGATCCTCCCACCTGGATGTCATTTTCCCTGGTTTCAGGAGTCTGAGTAATTCTGGAGCCTTTATGTAATTCCCACTCTCATTAAGCCCCCCACCTGAGGGAGTGCCCAGAGAGGGGGAAAAACAGTTTTCGAGCTGAGAGAAGACACTCACGTGCATGAGCGAGGCTGAGGGCCCAGAGCCGCAGGTAGGAGGCGGTGTTGGAGATGCAGCCCAGGCAGTACTCGATGGTGTGGATGGCCTGGTGGACCATGGTGTCCCCAAAGTCAAACTGTCATGTAAGGAAACCAGAGAGGAGATATAAGGTTGGGAGGGGAGTGGGCAGGGATCTGAGCGCTGGTGCTAAAGGCTACATGTGCCAGGAGACCCCTGGGCCTAATCCTGGTGGGGATTTCAGCTATGCCATCCCCTAAATCCTGCCCAGCTTAGCCCCCAGGTGAGATACCCCGTTCCTCTCAATATACTACATCTGAACAAACTACATCTCAATAAGACTCTTCTCAACACATTTGGTTTTTCTCCCTGCTAGGCAGTCAGCTCAGGAGTGGAGTGCATGCCCAGGTAGAACACGGCTGTCGGGCAGCGCCTGCTGGAGCTGACCTCCACCTGAAGGTGCCCGAGAGAAAAGCTCTCTGCTCCGAACAAGTCATGAGGCCAGGACAGGCTTTTCCCTGGGCTGCGCCTCAGGGGACAGGCCACCAGGCTGGAAACTACTTGGAGACAACTAAACTTCTGCAGCCACTTATTTTTACGACATGTTGGGAGCAAGATAACCTCCTTTTACTTTTGAGACTTCTTAGAAGATTCCACAGGGACGTCCTGGCAAAAAAAGTTTTACAAATTCCTACTTGAACAGACAAATACCAATCAAAACATGTACTGTTTTGTGTTTCTGTTTTCCTCACACTCCCTTTCTTCCAGTTTTCCTTTCAACATCAAAAATTATTTCCAGAGTAAAGAGGAAGGGCTAGAAGGAGCGTCCAGGAGCTCACTCTCAGGACTGCTCCAAGCACAGCCGGGGAAGAACACCTGGCTGTTCCGGGAACACCAGGTGCATTTCTCCGCCTCTCACTCCTCCACCGAAGGTCAGGAGGCAGTTCCCCTCCCGAGGCCTCCCTACATGGCCCAGTGCACAACCCGGGGGGTGGGGGGACAGAAGGCTGCTGCCCAGGGGGCCACCGCAGCCTGCCCTGCCCACAGGTCAGAGTCTGTTTTTCACCAGTTTCTTTCAAGACTTACATGACTTCACCCCCAAAAGAAACCAGAAAGAACTATCTTGAGAAACCACATGAGGGCAGGAGAGGCGGGCCAGCTGGTAAAGTGCAAACAGCTCAGGCCTCATGGGTGCGGCCAGTGGGGAGAGGGGCCAACCATCTCTGGGCGACAGCCTTTTTTCCCCTCACCCCTATCTACACCCTGAAAAACTAGGGTAATCCTAGTTACTTCCATCCCAACAATGCTGTTAAGAGCCCTCTGCCACCACTGCTGGCTGTCGCCCCAAAGCCCGTGCTCAGAGGAAGGACAGCTCCCGGCTCTAAGGAGCAAAGGGCTTTACTCCTAAGAGCGCTATGAAAGCAGTGACTGGGGGGTTCCCTTAAAACCAGCCCCTTTTAGTATTTGATTCCACATTGAGTTTCTCCCATGAACAAGCAAAACAAAAACAAACAAATGAGATGGCAGAGGAAGCTTCCCTTCCAGGTGTTACCCTCGCTTTCTCCTGTCCTTCATTCCCAACTTGCTTTGTAAACTTGGGCCAGTTTCCTTATCTATACATTGGGGGACTGATACTAAGTGGGGTGAGAATTAAGTGAGAAATCCAGCCAAGCAGGCAGGAGTCTGCCACTGCCTGTGGGCATCAGCTCCGACTGACCCTGAACCTCAGCAGACTCCCCGTCTGCATTCTCTGCCCGTTTCTCATCGCCCACCCATGCCTACTCCTCATCTCCTGCGCCTGGCTCCTACCCCTTGGCTCCACACACCTTCTCGGCACACTCACCCTCACCTCCTGTCTAACAGACGTTCTGTGACCTGACTGAGCCTCTGCGGGTGTCTGTCGCTACTGCCTTTTCCTCCTCCCTCTTAGGACACACACCTCCCTTCAGTTTTCCTCCTGCCTCTCTGAATGTTCCTTCTCAGCCTCCACCTTGGTTCTTCCTTCAAGCCTCAGCCCTTAGATCTTTCCTGTAGTACTGCCCGCAGGCCTTCAGCAGCCACCACAGGAGGGAATCCTAAATGGTCACTTCCCTTTCCACATTGCCCGTTTCCAACCAGCCATGCCCTGTCTCCTTCTGGTGCACTGCGTGTGCTTCAGACTCCAGGCCACTCAAACTGAACTAACCAACTGCTCTCCACCGAGACCAACTGCTCCTCATCCTGGGTCTAAGAGAAAGTCACTCCGAGTGCCCCAGGCACCCACACCTGGAAGTCAGTCTTGAATTTTCACTCACTCTCACTGCCCACATTCACTAGAGCACTAGGACCTGCAGTTTTTACTTCCTTGATTTCATGTTGGGTTGGTCTCTTCCTTTCCGGCTCCCATTGCAAATGCCTTTCATCCCTTCAGGCCTCTCTGTCCTGTCCTGACTCCTGTCAGACCAGCTGGTCTCCATGCCTTCAGACACTGTGTCCCTCCCTACCCACCCTCCACCACCCCCAACAGGAGGTTTCAGCAATGGTGTGTGCTGGTCACTCGCTGCTTCCCTGCCCTCTGATGCCCCTTAGTACCCACTCTACTATGGCTGCTTTCTGCCAACCTCTAGTCTCATTTCTCACCGGTCCCCCAACTCTTGACTCTGAGCTCCAGCCAAGCTGAATACTTGTTTATCCCCAAAATGTAGTGGGCCCACAGGCCTCTGTGTCTTTATGATAAGTACACACACTGATGGATCTGCATTCCGCCCTCCCTCCATAGAGCTGCCTGCACCACCAGACTAACCCTAGCAATGATTTCCTTAGGGATCTTTCTCCCACCCCCGCCCAGTGTTTGTCAGGGGCCCTCTTTCTGGGCTCCCCCAGCATCCGGCACACCCTGACCATAGCATCTGTTACCCAGACTATCTCCTCAGTTTGACTGGGAGTTCCTTGAAGGCAAGGTCTATGCTTTCCTTCTCTCAGTTCCTGCAGCACTAAACAGAGTGCTTGGCACATGGAGGCTGAATGGGTGGGTGGGTTGGAGGAATGCACCTGATGAAACAACACTGTGGGGAGAGGTGCCACCAACCCTTGCTCAATGGTTACAGCCTTCAAAGACTTCCCAGACCATCGACAGCCCTGGCTCTGGTCTGCAGTTGGACTGGGTGCCGCCCCCAGGAGAGGCACTGCTGATTCCACTAGGCTGTCTGTGTGGGACAAACAGGTTTTCACAGCCATGCAAAATGGGAAAGTTCTAGAAGTAGGCTGGACTTAAAAAAAGTTTTATTTGAAAACCTTAGATAACTGTGAAAGCTATTTAAATTTGGCTGTAGAGAACCAGACTGTGTATGTGCCTGATAAAGATAAAATGTCCCAATAAGGAAGCTATGAGAAGCTGAACCCCTGAGGGAGCTGGGAGGCCAGAGCCTGGGGAGGCTGAATTCTAGTCTATTTCCTTTAAATGTCCAGCCTGGGACATGGCTACAAATGAGGACTGTGCTGACAGGGACCAGGGCACTGGGGCTCCACTAGGAAGATACTTAGAAAGAGCAGTATTGTTGGAGGTGGCATTCCTGGGAGAGGGCTGGGCTCCTCACTAACATGGGCACACTCCCACAGGGCACTTCCAGGTGGCTCAGCCTGACTGTGCACTGATGAGTGGAACACAGAAGCTCCTGGATGCCAGCAAAGGAGCCTCTCTGGCCTTTAGGAAGACTGAACACTGTCTGCTTTCACAAAGAACAGCAAAGCTTTACCCATTTGCTCCCATTTACCCTTTAGAGAGGACCAGGAGAGCCAGAAAAGGGGAGGGTTCACAGGTCTAGGTATTTCAGAGAGAAATTTGGGGAGAAAGATGCAAACAGTGCAGCAAGGCCTATTAAAAACCCAATTTGAAACTTGTCTATTGCTAAATGAATTACTGCTGAGCTGGAAGGCCTCTTCTACTCCGGATGTAACCTGAATATTTAACCAATTTTCTTTCTACACTGTTATTCTCTATGTGTGGCTGATATAATATGAACTCCTTTCATGTAGATGGATTGTATTTTTCTGGAATGCATCTGAGAGGTAAAGCCTCCTTTTGAAAGCTGTCTGTCTCCCACATGGCTCACATGGAGGTAAAGCTGACCCCAAGTGAGGGTCCCAGCATTCTCACTCCAAGCATCATCAAGCTGGTGAGGGCAGCAGGAAGAGGTTGGCTGCATCTCAGATAGTGAGGAAGGGTGAGCTTTCCCAGAAGCACTCAGAGGAGCAGGGGGAAACAGTTACTCCCAGGGGCAGAGGACCAGACACATCACAGGAGAGGAAGGCAGAGCCAGTGGGATTTAACTCCCAAAGGGAGTCACTTCAAGAATGCCAGTGCAGACATTACTTGTAGCTCCTTGCAAAGCCATTCTCAGAGGCATTAGATCAGCAAAGTCAATGAAACAAAGACAGAGGTGACCGACATGAGATGCAGTTAATGGAGATGAGCTTTTTCAGAACACGGGTTCATAAGCTGGTTAGAAATGGCCAGTGAGATGCAGGATGCAGGGGTGTCACGTGTGGCCCCAGGATGTGGCAGGGTCAGCAGAGTGATCACAAGGACGGGAAGAGAAGCCCAAGATACACATGAAGCCAAAGCCAGCTTGTTTCTTACCACTTCGTCCTCGGTCGGCTTGAAAATACAAATTAACACTTAGTGGGAAGCCACGCCACACACAAGATCACAAGTTATGAGCACAAAGCTACTGATTGCTTCTTGGTGGGGGAGGGAGGACTGAATACTAAATGGTCTAACATGTTGGAGGCAGGCCTCCTCAACATACACAGAAAGCAAAATCAGCAGGATTTAGAGAATTGAGATACTTATTTTTAAAAGGCACCCCAAGCCTTGCAATTTCTTTTTTAAAAAGTCATACACGTATAGTGGAAGTGGTCGGTCAAACTGCAAGGTCCAGCCTCCTGGGTCCTCAACACCTATTCTATTTGTTTTAAAAAGAATGTAATGAATAGATGAGATTCAAAAGTTCAGCTCAGAGGCTTTGTGGTATGAGTGGTCAGGCAAGGAGACTGGATTTTTAAAAACTGAGCTTGGAGGTGGTGGTTTAAGGAAAAGTCTAGCTTGGCTAGACTTCACTCTCCCTGTAGAAAGTAGGCAAATAACATTTTTAAAAAGCTCAAGTAAAATGTCTGCAACAAGAGCATGTTAGCACAACAGGACCTCAAAAGACCAATGATGACAGCTCCAATTAGAACCATTCTTGGGAGGGGCAAAAGAGGAAGGAGCTGCCTAAGTGGGCCGTGTTCCCAGTAACGAGAGCTGGGAGGCTGGGGCCCTCTCCGCCTTGGCCCAAGGAGAGCAGTCGGTAATCGGGATCTGCACGCTGAGCACAGCGGGCCACTCGGAATTCCAGAAGCCAGACGACAGAACAAAACTGCTGCGGGCTCTGCAGGCAGTACCTGGAGCTTAGAGCAGGGGCCGCTGGAAAAAGCTGTGGTGCCTTGAGAGGTCCAGAAGGCAGGCTGATCCTCAGGAAAAGTATTTTCATTTTTCAAGAAGCTGACTAGAATGAGGCCACTTAGGTACACAAGACGAGGGCTGACCTGAGGCGGAAGGAGAGGAAGCCCACACCACTGATCTTACCTCCTCTGCGTCCTCTGAATGGGTGGAGAGCTGGTCATGCTGAATAATCTCAGCATCCTCCTCTGTCGGTCCGTTGCCCACCCTGATCCCACCAAAGTTGAGAGTTCCCTACACAGATGAACAGAAAGAGTAGAATTTGCCTGGGCTTTAATGTGACATTCTGTGAGGTAGGGAAGGGTGACGGTTAGTACATTCACATCTCAGAAAAGAATATATTCTAACAACAAAAACAAAACCCACTGATCGAACGGCTCAGTAAAACCAAACCACTGTTCCCACCCCACCCACCACCGCCCGGGCCCAGCCCGAATTACATGTACCACCTCGTTCTGAGCAGAGGACACAGGCAGGTCTGCCTGCTGCTCCAAGAGACGCCAGCCTCGCCCTGGTCAATGCTAACTGGGAATCCTCTTGAATGAAAAGCTTAATACCAACAGACTCTCCTAACAAGCGTAGCTCTATCTGTAAAGACTTCAGTGGCCAAAGTTTTCTGGAACCAAAGATTAGACTTCCTAAGATGGAGGGGAGCCAAATGACATGGTGATTGCAACGTGGTCTGATAAGCTTTCGACAGGAGCCCAAGAGTTCAAGCAACCTCTCCCTGAAATGTACTGGGTCTCTACCCATGAACAAAGGACTTCCTAGGTCACAGGGAAAACAAAAAACCAAAAAAACCCCTTAATGTACATTAGCTTGTGGCTAGAGAATACTGAGTTAGGAAAAAAAAAAAAGGCTCCTTTCCTTCAATGGAGGATTCTGGAGAGTTAAAACAACTTGGAGGAGAGGCATGTGGGCAGATGCTGGTTGTTGCTTCTCATTTCCCAGGCACAGTTCTCAGCAGGGTCTCCAGAATGGGAATTTCTAAGTCAACTTGATTTGGGTTTACTGAGGCAAAAGGACTCTTAGGGCACAAATACCAGGTAGAACTGGGGAATAAGTCTAACAGTTAGCGCTAACCTGCCATGGAGAGAAAAGGAGCTAAAGAAACAGCTCCTACACCCACTTCTTGTGGTTTGTCAGGGGAGCCAAACAAGGCAAGAGTTCGAAGGCTGTCCTCCTGCAAAACAGCCTCCAAGCAGCAGCACAAACAATGTGCAGGCAGCTTCGATCAGCTGTCCCCAGGTCCCCACCCGCAGCTCCACCTTTTGGTGTGCACCTCTGACCACAGCTTATGACCACGAGACCTCAGTGATTGGACAAATTCTCTCTCTTCTTCTAGCGGTTGTTCTCACATGCTGGCCAGAGAACCAGCTGCATCAGAATCACCTTGAAAGCTGCATTTCGTTAAACAGAAATTCTTAGATACCATTCCCAGAAATTGTAAATTTAGTAGGTCTGGGGTGGGGCCTAGGAAATCTTTTTTTCTTTTTTCAAAAAAAATTGTTTGGAGGGAAGAGGGTATAGCTCAGTGGTAGAGCACATGCTTAGCATTTAGGAGGTCCTGGGTTCAATCCCCAGTACCTCCTCCAAAAATAAAACAAATAGACCTAATTACCCCCCCTCCAAAAAAACTAAAAAAAATTTTTGGAGGGGGAGGTAGTTAGGTTTGTTTGTTTGTTTGTTTGTTTATTTACTTATTATAACAGAGGCACTGGGGATTGAACCTAGGGCCTCAAGCATGCTAAGCACACACTCTACTACTGAGTTATACCCTTCCCCCAAGGAAATCCATATTTAAAAAATATTTCCCCAAGTACAAACTGTAATCATTTCAACTGTCTATCAATATTGAAAAGGCATGTACACACAAAAAAGGCATGTTTCCTTTGAGATAGCAATCCCACTCTGGGAACATCTATGCCTCTGAAGTTTTATCTAGATACATGGACAAGGATGTTCCCTGTGTTACTTGGAATAGCAAAGAACTGGGAACAACCAACACATCCATTAACAAGAGAATGACTACATAATTTTAGCACATCCAACAGAATGTTCTATGGAATGCTAGGCAACTATAACAGTATCACTATGAAACAAGATACTCTAAATTTTTATAAACCTGATAAATCAAGGGGCAGAAGAGTGCTACAACTTAAAACAAAATTGCTAATGTGCTTTAAATATACATGTGTACGTAAACATATTTCTATCAGTGTGTGACAGACATGTGCAGAAAAAAATTTAAAGGCAAGATTCCTCCACCTGCTAACAATACCCTGGAGGAGAATGCAGGGGGTGGGGACGGAGGGCCCTGGGGACAGGCAGGCTTTCAGTATCATTTGTATCTCCAACCAAGTGCACCTATTGCTATAATTTTATTTTTAATGTCAGCAGGGGGTTGTCTGGGTCATGAATTATGGGCAATCTTTATGTCTTTTCCCACTTATCCATTTTGTTTTAATGTCCTAAGAAACAAATTTAAAGTTCACCAGGTGATTCTGATGTGTAATCAGACTTGGGAACCACTAAAGCCCTGGGCACCTCCAGGTCACGCAAATATTACACTCGACAACCCTCAAAAGGTAGACTGAAAGTGTAACAAAGGTGCACTTTCTGCATCACTTTCTGTACAACACGAGACAGGAGAGGACCCCAGAGTACCCTGGGGTGAGTCATAGGGTAAAGGAGGGCTTTAGGGCCTAAAGCAGAAAGCCATTTCTGAAGTTTTCCCCAACCAGCAGATGAAATGAGGGGCAGACAGATTAAACCTCCCAGCCAGACACTGGTAAGTGTCCCTTCAGAACAGAGGGAATGTGAGTTACAGGAAGGAGGATGAGACACACACATCAGCATAAAAAAGAAAAAAAAAAAAACTGTGGTACACTGCCTACAGACAACCAAGACGACTGAGAACAGGACAGAAACATATCGGGATTCAGATCCTCGGCCCCTGGGGTCAAGAATCCAGGACCCTTGCAGAATGATCACCCTGATACCTTACAGCTGCTCTCCAGAAACAGATGTTTGGCTAAAGAAACAGTGGGCTAAGAAGACTCGAATGTATAGGTTTCCAGACGGGGGACTTTTAATTTGGACAGTATCACAGAAGAGGATGCCAGATTTAAAAGTATCAAGACTGATGCATCAGAAGGGCTTCTTTTTTCTTTCTTTCTTTTTTTTAAAGAAGTGCATCTTAAATAAACTAAGCCTGGTAGAAAGAAGGGCACGTGGAAAGAATGCCAATGAATGGACAGTCTGTGCTTTAAGGTTTTTTGTTTTTTTAATTTCTCAAAGAAAAGGAGAGAGTTAAGTCTCCACTTGAAGATAATTTTAAGCAGCAACATTAAAATATCTTCTGATCCAAAATATCAGCCCTTTTAGACTAGTTCAGAATAGCAGTTTTCTAAGTTAAAATGATCAGAAACACCTAATGAAGGAAATGGTCATCCATCTATTTATTTATTTATTTAAATATTCATTTATTTAAAGGAGTAGGATGCTACTAGAACACAGCAGTACAGGAGTCATCACTACTGGTGAGATTTTAGAAATCTTACAGATTCATTACCTAGAATAGACTAGGCTAATCTGATTCTCAGCACATTATAAGATTTTGGTTAAGAGATGTTTTGGGACAAATACTGAAATGCTTAACATTCAAAGTGCTGTTACTGAATCATGAGTTAGTACTGGAAGAAGGAAAGATCAAAACAGAAGATGACTTTGGCTATGACACCAGATGCGGAGTACACACGAGACACACGGCAGAGTGGAGGTCTCAGTGAAACAGCTGAAGACATGAGGCTTCTGAGTCTCTCACGAAAAAGTCAACATGTACAAGCTCCCAGTGGAAAGAGAGTACGTCACAACTGAAATGAACCAAATGTCCAAGCATCACTCTGAAGCAGAACTGTAAAGTGTGGGGAAATCAATTCAAGAATCACAGAGATGTTCTCGCTCCATGCTTTAAAAATCATTCAATACATGGTCACAGAACACAGACACAAAGGTGGATGAGTCCAAGAGCTGCCCTCTTGGAGTAAAATGATGGACCTGGAGAGGGTATGACCACCACCTTGCTTCCATGGACATGACTGTGCTTATATACTGAAGAGAAACTTAGCAGACCAATGGTCAAGATGCCATCAGAATCTATTCCTAAGAGGTGGAAATCTTTTCTGCCATCATCTCAGTGAGTAACAAGGACACTTCTCAAGAGCACACACATCCCATGCTCTTAGGATAGTTAAAAAGAATTCTGCTGCACTGTTTGCCACCTCTTTCAACGAAATGATGGTTTGTTGGTTTCAACTCACTCACTGTTGCAGCCGCTGCTGCCTCTAGTCCCTGTTGGCTCGGGGTTGGGCTGACTGGGGCCTCCACAGGTAGCCCTTCCTGATACTGAACAGAAGAAAAGAGGAAGGGAGAAGGACACAAAAGAGGGAGGGAGTGAAAGGGGAGACGAATGGAGGGCATGGAAGGATGAAGATGGTCAGAAAAGGGAGAAGGAGGGTCTTGTAACTCAGCTGCTCTCCAATAGGAGTAACAACCTAACAGCCGTATGAGAGTCATGCAACAAGATCTTTCGGGTTTTTCCAGGCAATGTAGTAAGTAAGCATTATTGCATAGCCAGAAACGGACATCTGGCAACGTGTGTGTGTGTGTGT